CGAGTTTCGATGCCCGTGGTGGGCAGAGCACAGATAGCCCTTTGTGTAGCTTTGTGCTTAACTTCAAACAAACAAACCGGACAAAGTCCCATAAGAGACTACCAGCCCACTAAATAATCACATAACCAGTCACACTTAAATGCAAAATCTTATAGTAAGATTGAATAAAGAAAAAGAGAGATAATTCTGAACTTTTCTCCCAAATATATTGTTATAACAAACAAACAAGTTTGATTTAGAAGATATGATTGTTTGTCTTACAACACGAGTATTTTAGGGTTCACAAACTTTTTCAACTTTGTTTCTCAGGTGTATTTCCAGCGGGTTTTGTCCGCTAAGAATGTGTCCAACGCTCAGGTTCTTTCCTATGTTGCTGCAGTGGGATGCGTTGTGATGGCTATCCCCGCCATATTGATTGGTGTCATCGCTAAAGCAACAGGTAGGATTTCAGTATCTGTAATGCTTTCGAGGTTTGTTTTATATACTAATCTAAAACACTGAAACAAAGGCATTGAATAAAGCTTCATCAACAGATTATTTTGCTAACTTTATTTCAATCGTCACATTCCTTCTGTAACTAAGGCAACAAATGAAAAATGGCCGATAATCCTCTCAAACTTTATTTCAACACAGAGGTTGTCCATTGTTTTTAAGGCAATAAGTAGGATAGGATCGTTTTAGTAGTCCTTCCAAACTGCCAACAAATGTACAGATAACACTTTGTAGTCTGCCACAATCTTAACTAAAATGATGCACTCTTTTCGTTGTTAGAAGAAACCATTAGTCTCAATCATTAATGTGGTCAGATTCATCACTTGTTTATTCTATTGTTTATGTAGCAGTTACAAGAAAAGACGACTAGCTTCGAACAGCTGGTAAATTCAGTACTACTTCGTAAGCAACCATGCTCTTAACAAGTTCATTGTTTATCTATACATTACTAGAAGAAGGAATTAACTTCAAACAAATGTTTCACTAAGTTGACATTACTGTCACTTCATAAATTACTATAATCTAACTGAACTGTTTATTTAAACTCTATCACTTAGAGACAATTAATTTCACCCAATCATCTATGACTGTTTCTCTTACAACAGGAGTATTTTAGGGTTCACAAACTTTTTAAACTTTGTTTCTCGGGCTGGTACATGTATGATACGACAATTTTATTTCTACGTGACAAACAAAATTCCATTTTGATAATGTTTATTTTAAGATATTAGTCGAGAAGCATAGTTTATTGTAGTTTGCAAAACACATTGAATATTTTCATTATCACGATTAGTACTCTATACGATTACCTAAGTAGAATTATTAATTATTTTTTTATAACTAGATACTAATCAATAACTAGCCTTTATTCCACTCCCAATCTTTCTCCGTCTTCAGGTAAGTCCTGAGATAGAATATTTCTGTATTCGTAATGGCCAGGATTCGATCCTGAGTCTTCATAAAGGAAGTCTGTTGCGTTATTTATTCGGCTGAGGTCCTTCATCTTTAGGTCTTTAATCAACTAAATATCTGAATGTTTTTCAAGATAGATATCTTGCAAGCTAGGTTGACTGAGGTGGATATAAAAGGGGTTAATTTATCATTATTTTTCTCATGTGTGAAATATCCTATTTCAATTTATCGTACGGTCTTCTTTTATGGCATAACGGGTTATTGCAGGTAGATCGGTATTACCGAGTCTTGTATGTATATTATGTTCCTGAATATTAACTTTTTCTCCAGTTTATCAGAATCCAGATTCACCTGGTATGTTATAATTGGTGTTTCTCATTTCTATTGAGTCTTTAGGTAGTTCTATGTGTGTTAATTGCGATTGTATTGCGTTAGGACTTCTGAATATATGCTGTTTACAGAACCTCTGTATGTTTTCAGAGAGACCTTTGATATAGAGGATATATGTCTGTAATATCTTTCCCTTTTTCTTCTCGATCTCTTTTTCTTTCTTTGTCAAGTGTTCCGGGTATCCATTGTTAAAAAGGGTTGTATAGTGGAGTGTTTTTTTCTTCCATCTTCTTAGTCTCTTCGATATTACAAATTTTGTTCATTCTGGAAAGTATGCAGTTTGTGACGCCTGATTTTACACTGTTGGAGGTAGGGGGGGGGGAGTTACAGACAAGGTACTTACCCGAATCTGTGAATTTCCTGTAAACTCCTGTGGTGTATGAGTTATGTATCTTGGTAACCGTAACGTCAAGAAATGGGAGTTTACCTTATTTTTCTATTTTCATTGTAAGTTGTATCGCTGTATGTTGTCTGTTCAGGTGGTTCATGAATTCATTAATCTTGTCTGTATTGCGTGTTCGTATTACGAATGTATGATCAATATATCTAAGCAAAATCTTGTGGCGTAGAGTTGTTGTTTTGATGGCGTTAATTTATAAATATGCTACGTATAGGTTAATAAATATTTATGATAGGCGTGGGACCACAGCTAGGCCTTCTTGTTGTTAGTAGTATTTATCTTCGTGTTGCAAACAGAATATGTTGACACACAAGGTTGTGAGTTCTATTATTGTAGAGATTGTCAGTTAGGTGTATTCCTAAAAGTTATGTCATTTTCCATGTGTTGGCAGAGATATTAGCAGTGTGTCCAAAGCTGGTACGTTAATGAAATGGTTGGATACGTCAAACTGATCTTGTGTGATTATCATGGTTGCTTCTCTACAAAATGGGCCGAGTCTTAACATGGGCAGATATTTTACATGTTAATGTTGATAATACATCTATTAGATATCTAGCTAACAGGTGGCATGATAAGTCTCTGTGTTAACTATGGGGCGGATAGGGTGGCCTATTTTGTAAATTTTATAAAAACCATGGTAGTGCTGTGTACTATTAGCTGATTAATTACCTTTTTTTATTGAATATAACGATAAAAACTAAATGTTTTATGAATTAATTTCAGAAAATATAATTAGTTGAACTGCCTGAACTTGTACTCAACTGAAATATATACAGCCCCTAATTTACTTAAAACGTCTTATCTCTATGGTATATCTCACGTCTATAAATCTACAAGATAATACATTTTACGAAGACTCTGTTACACAATGCTTCCAACATCACGTCAACACTTTTAATTTCTAAAGTTTAAATAAGCGTAGAGAACTGACTAAAGAGGTCAGGTTAATATGAATTTTTCTACAGCACTCAATGATATTACTTTCGTATGTGTGTGTGTGTTTAATACGCTTTTTCAAAGGTTTGCTTGTTTTAGCTTAAAGCTACGCAATAGGCTTTCTGTGCTCTCTCCACAATACGGAATCGAACCCCGAATTTTAGAGTTGAAAGTTAGTAAACTTACTGTTCACTCACTTTGGGACATGTTTAAATACATTTGCTGCTTTGCTAATTCATGTTCTTGAGGCATTTGTAAGTTATAGTATGAATTACACTTTTCAATTAAATTAATAC